CTTATGGTTCATATATTCACCATTAAATGTAAATGATTGCATTCTAAAAGCATAGAAATTGCTAAATTTTACATTTTCATCACTTTGACAGGGATTGTATAGCCTGAACATCCTTAAAGACAGGAAGCATTGCACGTACATACCTGAGTAGGTAGAACTATGAGAGCGACGCAGATCATGATGATCATGTAAAGCTGCGAGGGCCAGATGTCAGGTACAAAGTCACCGTAACCGACCGTGGAATACGTGACCACGACGAAGTATGTGCTTTGGAACAGATTCAGATGCCTGTGTCCCGCTCTCTGAAAGTGTTGGAACCCGCATACGCTGAAACACACAAACGCCTGTTCAGTCAGTACCTATACTCGGGTTTCTGAGAGTCTAGGACCGGGCACAGTTCAGTTTTTGATCGTTCTACGCATCTCAATGCTTTACCGTGTATACTGAACCGTATAGAGGGAATTAGCTGCGACCCTCACCACCTTCCAAACTGCGCGAAACGGTCCTAGACTTTCAGGAACACGTGTATAACAGCGCAGCGGCCGACGAGATCGATTGGTCACGATTACGTGGGCGATCGAGGAACGGCTTATCGACGGGCGGAAGGGGATGTTAGAAACTTTGAGAATCGTCTCGGTGAAGGAGCGATTCGACGCAAAGAACGGACAAACGACTTGGCTCTATTATGCATGCGACCTCGTTCTCACATCTGCATTTATATTTCTGTGGCTGCTTTTTTCATCCCACTCGATCCATTTTTCCTCTTTCTCAATTTCTTCGTCTATTTTTATAATCACTGATTATACGGTGTGTATTTTTAGTTACGAAATGCAAATACTTCTGATTCTCAATCCTTAAGTCGGTAATTCTTAGTCAATTATACAAGTCAAATGATAACTGAAAATAAAAAGTTCGAATTACGAAGTCTTTTCACTATTAAATATCATGTGATTCTATTAAAAGAATTTACATTAATGTTTGTCACAATTTGAATGGAAATTTGA